TCTTATTAATTGTAAATGGATTTATATTCTATATCATGATCATATACATTTTACATACAGTGAAGAGCGTAATTATACTAATGAGAATGAAAAGTTGTCGATAATTTAAATTGATATAACTTTATATAAGAAGATCATATTCGTACTCTTATGAATTTTAAACAAATTTTTGTAAATAAATAATTGTTTATTGACTAATTTTTGCAAAAATTAAGTATGTATATATTTGCGATATTCAGAATAGATATCATAAAAAAGTATCATGAAATAATACTTAATAGGTGTTATAAAAAAAATATTTACATAATTTGTAAAATTGTCAAGGAAAATTAAGAAAATCAACAGAAATATGCGAGCGAACATTCGTTCAAAATACAGTTTTCATTGTTCTAGAATTTTTTACGTTTATAGACTAAGGTTTATAATAATAAACATCACTTCCCAATAATGATTATTTGTTAATATATTATATTAGAAAACTGTGAACTTACAATAGACGAAAAGGAAATTATTAATAATTTACATAATCAGTGTAAAAAAGTTTATTAGACATTTCACGAATTATTAACAGGCCAAGACCGACTAATATAAAGCAGAATTATATGGATTAAGAAAAATAGTTATGGATAGAAGAAGAATTGGTCGGATTATTATTTGAATGATTAAACAAAATCCAGAAACAAGTAAAACAAATATTATTGAACATTCAGAGAATAATTTAAGCATTGATTTATCCGCTAGCGCTGTGCTGTAATTTTCGTTTTTTAAGAAAACAAGGCTATCACCGTTAAAAAAAGATATTTCGTTAGCAAAATAGAAAGAAACGATTGGAATTTGTGAATAACAATATAAACACACCAAAAGAATATTGGAATGATGGTAACATGCATTACGAAAAGTTATTCAAAAAGATAACCGTGATAGCATGTTTCAAGTTAAAATCGACACGGGAGCTCTCAGAATAAATAATTACCATTCGTGATTCTAGAAACTTTCAATTGTGGCAATATGATGTGAAATTTCATAAAAGTCAGATCACAATAATGTAGCATCGGTTATTATAATTGATCTGTAGTTATAATTTTAATTATGTTTAAACATAACAGATGGTTTGTTGATCATAGTGTATACCTCCGAAGAATTTAGATCAGCGCCATCTATGTCTAATAAACTAAATCCGTCGAGATGTGCGTTTTTTATAAACTAACAACGCCAACTTTATTTAACTCATAAATAGTAAAATATTTAAAAATTATAAAATTATAAAAAATTTAAAATTTATATTTAAAATTTATATTTAAAAATTGTTAGTACATTAATTATCACCATGGAAATCTTTATAGATACATACATATATATTGTTATTTAATATTCATCATTATTAAATATTTTAGTTAATATATATTTTGTTACAATTATAATATTTTTATATAAATTATCAAAATTAAATAGAGTATTTATTTATATTTGTAGTACCATGATTGAGAATAATCATCATCATAATCTCTACGATAGATGTATGATAAAATATGAATGCGATGCGAGAAGTCCAACGTAGCGATGGAGCGTTTTCCTTTTTTAAAAGACCAGAGTCGTGAGAGTCGTGAAAGAACGTTGAAAGTGAACTATTAAAAAGTGTCAATTATGTTGTTAAAACACAAGAAAAGAGTTTATTTTTAGTTGTTGATTCGTGTTGCTTTAAAGTAATTTGCCTTGTTTAACTATTTGTTGTTCTATCGTCAGTATTTTCATTAAATAAACATTATTTGTATTATATCTCTACAATTAATTAATTGCAATAACCAATGATGATGTTCAAAGAACACAACTTTTCTCTCATGTTGTATATTTTCTTTCTTCTGTTGCTGGTTATTAATGGTAAAACGAGAATAGCCGAAATTGTTGGTAACGTGGGAGTTAGAGGAAGAGGGTAAGAGGGATTGCGTATTATTTGAATTCAGTTCGACCAGATTATTCGGTTTGATTAATCAACAACGCACAACGACGGTGTGTCTCAAAAGATAGCCGGGCCGAGGAGTTATGCACACAGGGACAGCGATGAGTTATTGCTGTCGCGTTACCGTGGCCTGTTGTCCCATTGTTTCTATTATTACATACGTCAAACGCGCGAATGAATTATGCACGCTGGTGAACGCAGAAGTTGATTCGCGGGGCTAACGATGTTCCGCGCTTATATTGTACAATGCCGATCAAAGTTTCAATTGTTCGTATTTCGTGCGTTTCTGTTGAGAAACGAAGAAACTTTAAGAGTGGTACAATTGAGAAGAGATCGTAGACAATATTGACAATCGGAAATAAGAGAATCTTTAAATGATTTATTCTTATAAACATATTAAATTAAACAGAATTTATTCTTAAGGAGCAAAATTTTGATTATATATGTTTCATGTTCTTCGTTAGAGAAATTTTAAGGAATTGGCGGAGAGAACACTAGAGAATTAAAAAAAAAAAAATTGTGGAATGATAATATTTGGAAGAAATTTTAAAAAATAAGAGTGTTGAAATATCTCGATATATTTTTGCTATAATATATATATATTTATTTGTTATTTATTATATTTATTTTTTATTTAATTGTTATGATATATATATATATATATTTTCTCAAATATATATATATATATTTGAAAAAAATTCGAAATACAATAGAATTTTTGGATAATAGGACAATCACTATTTTTGATATTAAATCACATGCCTATAAATGAAAATTAACAAAATTGTTTTCTATTTCAAAAATTGTTTCATTTATTTCAATATTTAAGAATGTTATATATCCTTTAGTTGTAAAATTACAATAACATTATCTTTTATAATAGTTACATTCTTTTTGTATGCATCGAATGGATCCTCATAATTTTTGTTTAGTCTTTCAGTATGTGAAAAAGATCATATTTAAAATATCTTCGTCATTCATCCACGAAACGTTGATCTAAAAAATTATTCTTATATTGCATTCCATTAGTGTTTTTGAAATTATTATTATTTAAAATCATTGAATTATTTATTGTTCCAATTTATTTTGAAGTTATGCAAAAAACATGTCAAACATGTAATTTTAAGGAATAATTTAATACGAAAAAGCATCTATTATTAGTAAATATTTTGTTCGGTAATAGAATAGTAATAATAGTTCGGATATGCAAGTTCTACTGTATATTGAATTATTTTAAAAATTTCAATAGTGAAATTGAAATGAAAAAATATAGCTGTATATTCGTACAATTAGAATAAATGTCATCAGACTTAATATACTGAATAAATGTCATCAGAATAAATGTCATCATTAGAATAAATGTCATCAGACTTAATATACTGAAATATAATACATGATATGCTATTTTTTGAAACGAAAGTTTATGTTTTCAGTGGAAGTTCATTTTCTATTCTTATTATTAATTTGTTATTAATTTATTATTGTTACTATTATTATCAACAATAAATAATTAATATATTATATAATAATAATAATAATAAAAAAATTATATTCATTTTATTATTATTATACATGAATAAGAATTAATGCCTAGTATAATATTCGGTATGAATTATTGTGTTGAGTTCAAATATATTTATTACTATATTAGATATATTTATTAGGTATATATGTGTGTGTGTGTGTGTGTGTGTTCATTATGACTAACACATTTTTTGTTAGAACATTTTTCTTTCAGAAATAGTATATCTACGCACAGAAAAGTGATCAAGAAGAATTAATTGATTTTTATACCAATTTTAACATAACTAACTTTTGGCTAACAACTTTTATATTTCTGTAATGCTTCTTATATTAACACATGACATTAATTACAGCATAATTACATAAATAACTCTCCTTTCTTTTTTTGAAAAATGGATATCTTAAAAATCGTATACATCAGTATAAATAAGTACAATTGCAATTTACAGTTGAAAATTAACTTCCAGCTTGGATGTATGAAAAAAAAGTGTAAAAAAAGAAGCGTAAAAAAAATTAGATTAAATAGAACACGAGGACTGCTCGGTTAATTCCTAACACGTGAAATAAGAAATAAAAAAAGAAGAAGAACCAGAAGATTATCCGATTTACTTATCAGATCGATCAGATGCAGATTCTGTTGGAAAAGTATGACGTTTATTTACAAGATTGGAATAGTACCCATATATATTGTTTTCATTGAAACACTAGAAACGATTAGTGTACGTGTGTGTATTGATTCAGGATTAAATTTAGAATGAAATTTAAGCATGACTAAATTCGGAATATTTCAACTGTGAAAAATAAATTATTGATGCTGTATGGAATTGGTGTGTCAATAAGAAATTTTTAAAAATTGAATATTTTAATGAGGTATAGGCAACGTTAATTACTTGAGATTTCTATAGCTAATTATTATTCGAAGGTCTGGAATTAATTATAAATTTATACCGACAGAATAATACAAATATTTAAATTTCGTACGTATTTACCTAGACACGTGTGCACGCAGAAAATGCTCGAAATAACAAAAATAATGAAGAAATATATATTCAGTGCTAATTGTACAGAACATCCTGCAATTCAGAAACTGAAAAGCACTCGCAATTCTTAATTAAATGTACAATCCTACACGTTTTTTTAATTTCGAAACGATTTTATTATTCACAGTAACATACAAGCAATGACAGTGTGAACGTGGTCGCCAGAGAATCATGATACTCACGGTAAATAATTTTGAAATTAATCGAAAATTATTCTCATCGAAACGTTATACTGGGACGGACGTATATTGTTTTAAATGGATTCGCGTATAATTTCAAATGATTCACATTCGTGTTGAATGCACGTTAAAGGTATGATGTACTGTTTGCGAAACAAGCACGAAGGTTCAAAACGCCCCCCCGCGACGCGGCGAAACTTTTGAGCGTTGGTACATGCACGAGTATCGCGAACTCATAACGCGTCTGCGCGTAATAAGTCGATGCAATTTGTATGTTCTTTATTAGACGCATTTGTATTTGCTTAATTACATTGTTACGCCGTCGGCCATTACTTCGACGCGGCCGAGTTAATGTTAATGGGACGATAATACACTTTTCGTAGTCTGCTCCGCCGCCATTCAGTCTGCGTCTGAAACATGCACGCGCGAGTTTCTCTGAGCAAAATTACATCCTTTGAAAACGATAGCAGCTGGGCTAATGAATTTTCAGATTTCAAATGTTTTTCAAATTTTTCCTTCTATTTCACTGTTAACTGTTTAGGTTTTCAATATTTTCGGTTACGAAATTCGAACGAGAAATTGCGATTATTGATTCGACGTCGTTGAAATTATTATTCGGAAAAATTCATTCACCTATTAAGGCAATGGTGTATTATGATGTTGGAAATATATCAATTTTCATTTTCAAAATATATCGTTATAAACTTTAATAATGATGAATAATGATGAAAGTAAGATTGAATGAATTTTCGGAATTCTATTTTATAACTGTAGTTAGAAAATAAAATAATTGAAAAAAGATTGCGAATAAAATGTTGCGTTTATGTAACGTTGGTCTTTAATAGTTGGTTCTTTTATAGAAGTTTCCAATCAGGTTAGGAATTTTGCAAAATACTATTATTGTTTTCTTTCGATAAATTGTTATCTACGAACGTTTTCTATAAATGGAATAAAATTATCAGTTCAGAAATTTTATTAATATTTTATTATTATTAGAAATTTTATTAAAATTTTATTATTATTAGAAATTTTATTAATATTTTATTATTATTAGAAATTTTTATTAATATTTTATTATTATTAGAAATTTTATTAATATTTTATTATTATTAGAAATTTTATTAATATTTTATTATTATTAGAAATTTTATTAATACTTTATTATTTTATTATTATTAGATTATTTTTTATTAATATTTTATTATTTTATTATTATTAGAAATTTTATTAATATTTTATTATTTTATTATTATTAGATTTTTTATTAATATTTTATTATTTTATTATTATTAGATTTTTTATTAATATTTTATTATTTTATTATTATTAGAAATTTTATTATTTTAATATTTTTATTAATATTTCATTATTTTATAAATATTATCATTTTATTATTTTCATTTTTATTATTTTTTTAATGCTACTAACATTATTTTACTAATGCTACGGTTTTTTTTGATAATTTTGATAGATTTTATTTTATTAAGTAAATTTTTTTTTGAAGAATCGCAAAATCAAGGTCTTAAGATTTCATTCACTCTACTGAAAGAAAATTTAGAACGCAAAGTATAAACAAGGAAAAGTTAATGCTGCTTGTTAATGCTTCAATTATACTTCTTCATAACTTTTTTTCAAACTTTTCACAACTTCTTTAACATCTATATTCTACATCGACTACCTCGTTAGCTCTTAACTTACATCTTGTTATTTCAATTTATTTATAGATCGCAAAATATCAACGATAATTCTGATTCCAGCTCTTTAGTATTTTTTCTATTTTTTATGTCTATGTTCTTCGTTGATATATAATTTCTATCTTACTTCAATTCAGTAGTAAGTTTTAAATTGGTAATAATATGAGTTATCCTAATATGAAATACTTTCTTTTATGTACATATTTTAGCATAATTTACAAACTTAAATATCATGGTTTTTTAAAAGATTGTGTACTTTTCATATATTTATATACTTTAAACAGCTAGTCATATTTAAAATATAATAATAATTTAGAGAAATATTCGGCTCATGGTGTTCCTAATGATATTCATATATGCCTAATATAGAATAGCACATAATATCGAATTTACTCTTCTGAAGATGAATAACAAGGTGTAAATAATTATCTTTGTTTAAAAATAAAACAAAATTTATTATTTCTCATATAAAATTCAATGAAAAAAGTTACCAATCAAAATTAATTAATATATTTAAACTAACATCGGTATTTTGTTTTATAATGATCAATTATTATTAATCAAATTATATTTTGAGAGAATGAACACTTTTTTAGAGGATCTTACACGGTTCACATTTTCGATACTTAGTTCCATGTTGAGCTCTTTGGAGTATTCTATATTAGGAAAATTCTTGTTTGTGTGAAATTCTTGTTGAATTTGTTCCATGATGGTTACACAAATTTGATCATATTTGAAAGATAATCGTATTAAAATGAAATTGATGCACTATGTATGATATCAGTTTAAAAATTGGAGAATATCTAATAGTATTTTTAAAAAATGTAGATTTTTTTTAAATAATCGATTGTAAATTTCTTTATAGCTTCTGCATATGTTTATTATTAAAATAAATAACAAATATATAGATAGCATTTTATTAGATAGTAATGTCAAGATTTTTTAATATCATGGTATTCTACATAAAGCATCTATTCCATGTTAAGGCAATTCACCTTATAAAATATATTTAATGTATATTTTGTATTAAATAATATAATTTAATATAAATAATATATTTAACAGTTATTATTATTTAATAATATATATTGGATTGGCCAAAAAGTTGCATTGGCCAAATTGCATTTTTTCTAATAGATGGACATTTCAAAATGTAACCATCTTTATTTTAAATCACAGAAAATCATTGTGTAATCTGAAACCTGATTGTTCAAGCTTGCTTCAGAAAAAGAAAACGATTTCTGGCGACAATTTCAAAATGAAAAATAAAAAAGGAACATTTTCGTCATACTTTGCACTATTTTCGAAAAAAAAGGAACGCTGTGCAAACTCATAAAAAATTATTTGATATATTATCTCATATATATTTTTACGGTGAAGAAACTTTCAAATTACGGCAATGTTAGATTTGGTAAATTTCACTACTGACGAAGATATCAAATCGTCATTGGAACTTTCTTTCGTCGAAAAAGATAAAAATCTTTCTGAACGCAAAATCATGAAATTGCTTAAAATATGGCAAAAGATGATCGAACAAAATGGTCAATATATTTTCTAATAAATTTTTAGGAAATGTTCGCACACATAGCAAATGTTCTGAACTATCTAAAGGAAACTAACATCAACCATAAGATATAATCATCTAGAAAAGAAGGGAACAGTACCTAACTGTCGCTAATGATCAAAAGGTAGATGCGACGTTAATCATAAATTAAAAAAAAAAAAAAAGAAAGTTTTTATTTCTCATGAAACATTCGTCATTATTTGCACACAGAAAAACGCAATTGGCCAACCTAATATTTTGTGTATATATTGTATGTACATTTCACATCGATTTTTCTAGTTTGCACATGTCACAGCAATACCATTTATACAATGTGTAACCTATGGCCCTTGAGACATCTGCTACGTATCGATATCGTAACCGTAATACGCAGTTTATTACTTGCAATAACAAATAATATTTTGATTGATTTTTTCCCACGAGGAACTAGAAGGCTTTTAGCCAGCTTTGATAAGTGACTCGATCAAAATTGCTCGTTTTTTTTTTAAATGTACCGTTAACTATTTGAAGTTTACTCGCGTCTGCATACCACTTCCCATCGCTTTAACTTTCCACCCAAACATTCCACAACTTTTCCTATTTTCCCTACCCTAGTTAGAACTATTGCATTTGTACATTTTGCAACGTCGCAACACATTTTGTAACATCAAACACATTAAAGTTAGCATCATCAATCATTCAATTCAAATTATCCTTCGCGAGTTCAAGTACTCAACGAGCTGATTTTGGTTGCGAGGTTTAACATATCCGCACGACTTGTGTTTGGGTTTTCTTGGGATTTGTGTAATTTTTTATTTTAATATTAAATAGAAATAGTGTAACGGTAGCATTTTATTTATAAATATAAATATAATTAATATAATAAGTATAATTTTTATAAATATAATTAATATAATAAATATAATTTTTATAAATATAATTAATTGAGAGAAACTTGTGAAAGTAAATTGAAGAAATTTGGAATAAATCGTATTTCATTGTAACGTAAAAAAGTAAAAAATAAAGGAAATATAATGAAAGGATATAATATATAAAAAATATAATATAATATTTACATACGTATTTATAATTTATTATTAAATTTTTCAATTTAAAAATATGAAAAGTTAAGCACTAGTAATTACAAGTTAAAAAAGTATAAATTATTATACAATGAAGTAATCTGACTTTTCTCTAAATTTTCTCAAAAACTATCTACTGGTTAGAGAATTATATCTTTCTTTTAAACTTCCGCAAAATTTCATGTTTAATTAACAAAGTACCCAAATTTTCTTTCAAACAACCACAAAATAGAATTTAAATAGAGATTACTATTTCATCCTTTAAATACTATAACAAGTACAATACTTTACCACGGACATTTATTTTTTTATCTAGGTAAATACACAAATATCTGCACTCTAGTTATGACAGAATTAGCAGATTATCTTTATCTTTTATCTCTATTTGTACCTTTTATCTCAGCAAAATAACAAAAATTAGCCAAACAACAAAATATACAACGAAATACTATATAGACATATCTTTCACACGATATGAAAATCCTAGTATGTTCCATTGATTGCTTTGTGAACTCTCACCTTGATACTTCTACTAATTTGATTTACAAGAATGATAGAAAAGGACAAATAATTGATAGAAAACAGAGCAGTCAAAAGAAAGGAGAAGAACAAGATAATAACTTCAATAACTTTCAGTCGCAGTGACAGAAAGGAATTTGACAAATTTTCCAAATCTTTCTTTTCGCGCAATATCTGCTGGTAGTTATAAACGTAATATTACCGTCTCGTCGTGATCAACGTCTTCGCGGTGGTCGTGTTCGTTGTTGTCTGGCGTGGACAGAAAAGTTTCTCCGACACTTTCAACGCCCGCCGGCGAGATATACTTCAAGTTAGCGCGATGCATATCTAGAACCGTGCGAATTTCCACGAGTTCATCCTAATTAACAAGATGAAAATCATTTTCGTCTCCCTTTCGGTCGCGGCTCGGTTACAAGCAGAGGGCAGCGTTTTAATCGGTTTAATTTAATTTCGAGAAGCACGAACTCGTTCATGCGCCTTGTGTTATTATCACACTGCGAAATCTTGCTTTTTCCCACTTTTTCCAACCTACGCCACTCGGTGACACTCGGTGTTCGTTTCTTGCGACGAAT